CTAGTATGGCGTTGTACCCCGATGGCGTGGATCGATTCTGATCAATAATCCGCTGCTTTATCTCCTGGAGGGTATTACGATTGTGTGTTGGGCTGCGACAGCAACCCTTAACCCAAACTGATCAATATAACCGACCATTTGAAAGCTGTGTCTTACCCTGGTCATGGCGAATGACTTCATAACCCACTGGAACAGTAGATATAACTGCTGCTCTGCAGGAATAATATAAAATGTACTCTTTAGAATTTGCAAACGTTATCAACATGTTAAATGCTTAATATACTCCGATAAAAGATTTCCGCAAGAAAAAAACATGCAAAGAGCCACCGTGACCCCATCACAGGCCTTCCCAACCCTCAACTCTCATCGACCACTCAACCCTTTCCGGCATTTCCTCATCCTAGCTCTACAACCTTCCCTCACCCTCGCCAACTTCCTCCGCCTTCACTGGTCATACACACTTACCGGCCACTACACCCTCCCCGGTCACCCACAGGCATACCGACTACCCCAACCTCCACCCAGGCCGACATTTCCCCACCCTCATCGGCCTTCCGCTACCCTCAACAACCACACCTACCCTCGCCTTCGTCTCAACCACCTCGCTATTGGCGCCACTTCACCCGAACTGCTCACCTACACCCTCACCTACAACTTCTATCATCACCGGCCTTCACCCACACTCACCCGCCTCTCCATACCCTCAACGACTACACTCACCGACTATACATATCCTCAACGGCCTTTCATTACGCTCTCCGACCATCCCTACCCTCACCAACCATTCTCACCCTCTCCGACCACCCCTTACTACAAGGAAGTGTGCCCCTGTCGATTCGTCAGGTAATTCAAGATGGAATGACTCATTAATTTTCCGCGTCACGCAATCGGCCTTCAAACAAAGAGATCTTCAAAAGTTTTAAAGCTTCTAACAGTGTCGGAACCGTTGTTCGTGGCGCGGATGTGTGTGTATTGTGTCAAGGTTTTACGATTAATTAGTTTTCCGGTTAAGTTTGGTGTGAACCTACTGGCCGTGGCTTTCAAAGAACTTACACCGCGAGAAAGCTCGCACCGGACACTGATGCCGTGTATAAAATCATAAAGTGTGTCATACACGTTAGTATATCTCACAGAACTAGAACCGTTCTATTTCCTCATCCGCCTGACCCTTGCTGTAACGCCCTATCCGAAACAAGTCTAGACTGTCCACATTAGAATCTCATCTGTAGTATATCTGTATACAGTGTGATATAACCCCGCTATGTAAGCTAGAGTATATCTATATACAGTGTGATATAACCCCGCTATGTAAACTAGAGTATATCTATATACAGTGTGATATAACCCCGCTATGTAAACTAGAGTATATCTGTATACAGTGTGATATAACCCCGCTATGTAAGCTAGAGTATATCTGTATACAGTGTGATATAACCCCGCTATGTAAGCTAGAGTATATCTGTATACAGTGTGATATAACCCCGCTATGTAAGCTAGAGTATATCTGTATACAGTGTGATATAACCCCGCTATGTAAGCTAGAGTATATCTATATACAGTGTGATATAACCCCGCTATGTAAGCTAGACTATATATGTATACAGTGTGATATAACCCCGCTATGTAAGCTAGAGTATATCTGTAAACAGTGTGATATAACCCCGCTATGTAAGCTAGAGTATATCTGTATACAGTGTGATATAACCCCGCTATGTAAGCTAGAGTATATCTGTATACAGTGTGATATAACCCCGCTATGTAAGCTAGATTATATCTGTATACAGTGTGATATAACCCCGCTATGTAAGCTAGACTATATCTGTATACAGTGTGATATAACCCCGCTATGTAAGCTAGAGTATATCTGTATACAGTGTGATATAACCCCGCTATGTAACCTGGAGTATGTCAGTAAACAGTGTGATATAACCCCGCTATGTAAGCTAGATTATATCTGTATACAGTGTGATATAACCCCGCTATGTAAGCTAGACTATATATGTATACAGAGTGATATAACCCCGCTATGGACGCGAGAGTATATCTATATACAGTGTGATATAACCCCGCTATGTAAGCTAGAGTATATCTGTATACAGTGTGATATAACCCCGCTATGTAAGCTAGACTATATCTGTATACAGTGTGATATAACCCCGCTATGTAAGCTAGAGTATATCTGTATACAGTGTGATATAACCCCGCTATGTAAGCTAGAGTATATCTGTATACAGTGTGATATAACCCCGCTATGTAAGCTAGAGTATATCTGTATACAGTGTGATATAACCCCGCTATGTAAGCTAGAGTATATCTGTATACAGTGTGATATAACCCCGCTATGTAAGCTAGAGTATATCTGTATACAGTGTGATATAACCCCGCTATGTATATATATCTGTATACAGTGTGATATAACCCCGCTATGTAAGCTAGAGTATATCTGTATACAGTGTGATATAACCCCGCTATGTAAGCTAGAGTATATCTATATACAGTGTGATATAACCCCGCTATGTAAGCGTAGAGTATATACTGCTATACAGTGCGATATAACCCCGCTATGTCGCTATGTAAGAGAATATATCTGTATACAGTGTGATATAACCCCGCTATGTAAGCTAGAGTATATCTGTATACAGTGTGATATAACCCCGCTATATAAGCTAGAGTATATCTGTATACAGTGTGATATAACCCCGCTATGTAAGCTAGACTATATATGTATACAGTGTGATATAACCCCGCTATGTAAGCTGGAGTATATCTGTATACATCGTTATATAACCTCGCTATGTAAGCTAGAATATATCTGTATACAGTGTGATATAACCCCGCTATGTAAGCTAGAGTATTTCTGTATACAGTGTGATATAACACCGCTATGCAAGCTAGAGTATTTCTGTATACAGCGTAATATAACCTCGCTTTGTAAGCTGGAGTATATCTGTATACAGTGTGATATAACCCCGCTATGTAAGCTAGAGTATTTCTGTAAACAGTGTGATATAACCCCGCTATGTAAGCTAGAGTATATCTGTATACATCGTTATATAACCTCGCTATGTAAGCTAGAATATATCTGTATACAGTGTGATATAACCCCGCTATGTAAGCTAGAGTATTTCTGTAAACAGTGTGATATAACACCGCTATGCAAGCTAGAGTATTTCTGTATACAGCGTAATATAACCTCGCTTTGTAAGCTGGAGTATATCTGTATACAGTGTGATATAGCCCCGCTATGTAAGCTAGAATATATCTGTATACAGTGCGATATAACCTCGCTTTGTAAGCTGGAGTATATCTGTATACAGTGTGATATAACCCCGCTATATAAGCTAGATATCTATCTGTATACAGTGTGATATAACCCCGCTATGTAAGCTAGAATATATCTGTATACAGTGTGATATAACCCCGCTATATAGGCTAGTCTACACCTATATTGGACGAGATATTACCCGGCTATGTTAGCCATAGTTTATCCGTAATCAGTTGGTAATATCAGGGATAATCTACTATGTCTTATAGTCTCCCTGGTAATATTCAGCCCATTATAGCGCGAGTGACACACGTAGAAGGAATGTCGTATTCTTACTTTATTTTAAGGTTGACAAGTTTCTTTCACCTGTTTGTGATATACAAGGATTGAACAAGGGCAATGATAAAACTGCAGCTTAACATTTGACAGCGGGTGCGACATGTGTGCTTACGATACATAGCGACAGCGCGAGGAACCCAGTGCGGGCCAATCCATTCATCAGAGGTATATTTTGTCACACAGGTGTTGTGTGAATGTATTCAAAGACTTTGTACATAGGAGTCAGTTAACCCGAATTGTCGGCGGTTATGTATAATCAAGTTACGAGGGTTTACATGATTAGATTGGGGGTAGTTTGGGTGTTTAAGATTAAGTGGTCCGATTCATGGCCTGGTGGTCACAGCATATTACGCCCTCTGGCGGAGGGGAGATAATGATGTGATTTCTGGGGTAGCCCGACAAATTGTCCGAGCATTAACAAGGGATTTGTGCGATAACAAGGACTTCAGGGCTGGGTTAAGCTTGACTTACAAGATAAAGCAGACAGCATGACGTGTATAACTGGCTTGTTATATTGGCAATATGTTGAAATGGCGATGCAAAGTTATATCAAGTTATACAGTAATCAGTTCAGTGAATGTGACATGTTAGGGAACTACCATTAGGTATTATCTGGAGGGGCGGGGGATGGGGTGGGGTGGGGTGGGGGTGCGATTGTATCGATAGATATATTGTCTTTGAAAATATATGACAAAATATGATTGTCTGCCACCAAAAATACTTGATTGTTATGTTTAATTTAGGCTCACAACTTCAGCTAAAAAACTATCAGCTTTGGAATCCTACAGCTGAAAATATCAGGCCTTCATAAACAATACCACTCTAAAAATCTATTATTGAAAATTGAAATAGACTTGGCAAATAAAATAACATTTTTGTCTTTAGTGTTCCAAATATGAACATTAGAGGTATTCTATTTATACACCACTGTTATGTCATTAATTCCTACTGTATGTGTCCTTATGTTGGAATGTGTAACTGTGCAATCGGCCTGAGGTGTGTGAGAAACTCCGAGGCAGTGCGTCCACGCCTGTGGCTGTTGTGGTGATATTCGTCTGTACCAGGTAAACAACATTACCTGTCCTGTAGTATCCAACTCACAGCGTCAACCACACATGTACGTGATGTTGTGACCAGTGTCGTCCTCAGTCGCCAGCAGCAGGTGAAGGAAGGGTAGGGATGTGAGTGTGATCCCGACATGCAGAGATACCGAGAGCCTAACACACTGAGAACCTGCTGCTGATGTCGATCTTCATTTTGGGAAGGGAATGGGGAACGGAGACAAAGAAAACAGCGGGTCAGTGGGGCCATCCTTTCTTCACTGTGGGTACATGAGGCATGTAAACGAGTTAGCATCTTTGTGTACTCAACATAATGTTATGTTCTTTTCTTTCAGGTCTGAGGCGAACTTAAACGCCAGCCGCACAGCAGAACTGTAGAAGAGAACGTGTTGATGCGTGAAAGCTTTGAAGAGAAAACAATATTGGAAGGTGTTTAACACATCGAGGTTATCGACGGCGAAACATACCCGTGAGAGAAATCTGTCCATAATCCTTGATATAGCTTCCTCGGAAACCGCAGGTGAAAGGTATACTGTGTTCCGCGAGGGTCTCGTTGGATCAGTGTGTAAGAAGTGATCGGATCGGCGTGTCGTGAACAGTTACATTGCCATCCCGAACGAGCAGTTAAGTATCAGTACCGCCGTCTATAAACATACGTAACATTTTCCTGTGAGGCGTTATAAGCCGCTCAAGGGATTGAGTTGCCTCAGTGTAAAGCCAAGCTTCTCTGGAATTTATTTCGGTTTTAATTGCGAGTGGCGGCTCGGTTGAGCTGTGAGGTGTTTCTCTGTAATCCCTATGGGGAGAGTGGAGTGGGCAGTGTTGTGAGATGCATGCTAGGTCCGGAGAAGCCTCAAGGTCCAGCACTTTAGAGAGAGTTCACGGAGAGAAGGGCAGTGCGTCTATGTCCCGGATCACTGAGCTTAGACTATATGGTTCTCCTGATCATATTGTGAAAGGTCAACCCCCAGTTGACCCAACTAAGGACGGAATTCGTAGACTTGTTGGAAAATATGAGTCTCCGGAGAATCTTTGTATAAGTCCCACTGTCATTCGAACAAGTATGAATGGTCTGGATAAACCGGGAAGTGTCGTTGGCGGTCCTGCGATGTCCGATTGTTCTTCGGACATTTCCGACGCAACGCCGACCTGGCCGAGCACGGCCAACGTGGCCGCGACGAACTTTAGCGAAGGGGTAACGGAGCAGGATATTCTACAGGTGGAGATGTTTTATAAAAGTCATAAGACAGAGGTATGCGTGTGTCGGTGTCTAGCCAACCTCTACTTTGGTGGTGCCAAAAACGCAGCACAGGGGGACACGTGGGAGTTTCACAACACTGGCATTCCGGTGTTAGTTCTAGATTCCGGGGATCACCATAGAAACAGGAAGTTGCGCATAATCATGGCGGAGAAAGGGACCGGATTCACACTGTGGAAGGAAGGAATTGACCATTTGTCCAAATACAGCGTACCCTCTGCAAACTTCCACACCATGTATCTCACCACAGACCACACCAAACAAGCTGGCCTTAGCTTTGATGACAGCAACGCCGCTGTCGAGTTCTACTCCTTCATCTCGACCTTGACCTCTGATCCCAATGATGATCTGTTTAATCTGAGCAAGAAAAAGAACAAGAAAAAGAAGAAAGACAAGTCGAAACCGAAGTACAAGGCACCCAAGAAGACGGACATTTCACAGCCTTGTTGTTTTGTTCACGTGACCAAACTTGAACGACCAGATTTCCCTCCCCCTCCTTCAAGGCTAGGCGACCTATCTCATCTAATGGGTGCCAAGTTAGTAATACCACGAAGCACAAGTTCGGAAGTGTCCGACGATTCAACGTCACATTCAGCCGCTTCCGAACACTCGTAATGTCAACTGGTTGACATTATAATTGACTCCCAATGGTATGTGATAACGTCATATAACTCATTGCTACGTCACTATAGCATGGTGTGTGTCTTAACCCTTTATAACAACTATTTATTGACCCTATTGGAGGGATGGCTGTGTACAACTACGAGAATGGATATTCACCTGTCTTTGTGACGTAAACAACAGCATAAGAAGGCTTTGAGCCCGGGTTGAGGATTATACAATTGAACCATCGTTGTGGATACCACGTGTGCCAGATTCGACATTCAATGCAACATCAATGTTTTTGTGACGTCAAGATGACGTCACTTGTGTGTACGTTACTTGTTACTTATTCAATATGAGATGTGCAATGCAAGGGTTAATTAAGCACGTGCTTAAAGTGTTTGGCGTCTTCCGTTCGTTTGGATTATTTTGTGAAAATGTGTGTACGTCATCACTTTGTGTGGCGATACGATGTCAGCACAAAAAGCAACGTAATATGCAACTTTGCTCCATGGTGCTACAGATAAGGAAGTGACAGACAGATATTTCGAGCGGAGCGATACTGATCTCTTAGTGTTGTTAGCCGACATAGGTCTAGCACTAACAACCGTTGTTCAACACTCTTTGCATGGTCTGTATTATAGTAGTTGCCAACAGTGCTATTGTTACATTTTCCTGCATTTTTCAGCTTTATGAATATTACCCATCCTGCAATACTGAATATGAGCGATCAAGCATCATAGACATAGATCCGACCACCACAACAATCTCAGAGCACTGAACACGAGTAATGTATCGATACAGATATCGGTGCGATATATATCGCGATACAAACATATGTTAACGATACATACCTCGATATGTATGAATATATGAGATCCAAACATTTCTGCCATGACCAGTACCACGTTAATTATACAGATTTTACAAATTTATTTCTCTTAGTCACATTGCGATACAGTCGGTTTATCCTGTCGGAAACCGTATCGCCTTATCGTTACATCTCGACTCCACTGAACAAATCCCTTGTAGAAAGTAGTCCTGTAGTTGTATTACGTCTGCTTATGTATCATTCCGCGGAGTTGTAAAAGTTAAATATACCGTGGCCTGTGTCTAAATGTGTCCCTTTTGACTGATTTGGCTCTGGAAAAGTTTCAATTTTCCTGGCACGTACAATCTTGTTTATCCAGGAACTCACGTTTGAGAAACTTAATGTTATCACCGTGTTTACATTTGTATTTTCTCCAAGGGAAGCTGTTCAATCTGAAGCTATCTATTTTCGACCCTTTATTCAATATAGGTAAAAGACCCCAAACCGAGACAAGGAGAGATGCTATCGCTCCTTCAGAAGAGTATCACTCTCTCAGCTCACAATATGATATTATATAGGTGATCCCGACGAAAAAACCGTAACTTTACAAGCTCATTAAAATCAGTTATTTTACTCCTGTGCCAGCCCTTTCAGACTAATGCATGTCAGCCCTCTTAAACTAAAGTTGAGGTTTTGAAAATATGTAATTTCGATGGAAGCAAAATTCCATTTAAATTGAAAGGAAGCCCCATTGAGATAGGAGATTGAAAATCTGAGTTTGCTTCAGTTAGGGTGTCAGCGTTACAGTAAGGGTGGAAAAGGAGGGAGACGATATCATTAGGTACTGTGAGACCGATTACAGACCTCTCTGCTTTAGATCTGAAAACACCTCCAGAGAAGGTCGCGTCAGGTGACCTTTGACGGCCAACCAAAATGAACGAAGCACGGGTTCATACGCCAATCAGTTGACTCCTTTCAAGAACGATTTGGTATTATTTTTATAACCACCATATTCGCATATTTTAACAGCTATTCCATTGATCCTACCCCTCTTTCTGATTATTAAAAAGGACGGGGTTTACACAAACTCCAAGACAGCGTAATGGCGCCAAAACATTTATGACTTTTTGAGTACGCGGTGTTTAACGTTGGATTATAATTAAATGCATTGCTCACGGTTACCGAATGGTTTTAAAGCTTCGATGCTGACTGGTCATCGATAGTTCACCTGACGCGACCTCCTACAGAGCTGTCCACGGACGGAGAGATATGTACAGGTTTAAAATCAGATTTTAACTTTATGACTCATGGGTATTTGAAGACCAAATTACCAAATGCATTATAAACACATCCTAGTTTGGAGATGTTTTAATATTGGCTTCAAGTGCCCTCGTGATGACTAATGGTATAAGAAATTAGGGTACTGTCTTGTTACTGCACGTGCTGATCAGGCAATGTTTGTTTGTTTGTGATTGTCGAGTGTGTTCTTATCTGCTGGTCAGGCAGTCCAACACTTGGCGATCGCTTGCTTCGCCGTCAATGTAGCCGTTGCAGCCACGACCACAGCCACGACCACCACCCCGTCATTGCATCATCACGGTGTTATTACCACTGATATTACAAAGTCAAAACAACGGAAGTCTATTCGCCATCCCCGGTAACCAAGAGTATCATGTCTCATTTAAATTACGTAAAATATCCCGGACCCTATGGCCTAGTTCGAATCCGACATAAAGCGGTAGTGACCGTCTAAACAAAGTACCAAGAACATATTGCTGAGTTGGGTATATCCAGGGTATATATCGTAAAGAGATGATTGTAATACCCTTGATGAACGAGGATGACCTGTTCCATGAACGGTTAGTTATATTGGTGACTGTTGAGGGGAGAGGATTGGTGTCGCTTCAAAACCACAACGCCTTTTTACACAATGCTGGAAAGCAAGATAAATTGATTATTTAGAAAATACTCGCCAGTTAACATTACATGATTACCCAATTTTGCCTGTTGGTGGTAGGTGTGTCGGATATTGCTGGATCTGCCACGCCCATGTCACGTGGTCCTGGCTGTAACTGACAAGGTGTGTCACCGACGTAGCGTCTTATCATTATCATTTGTTTTCAAATGCTGGTATTTTTGGATAAATATCTCAGATATGCATTGTTTTGTGTTATTCTGTTACAGGGTAGGAAGACGCTGGTAGATAGTTGTTCAACGCATTTGTCTGTTTTGCATCACGATTTGACACACGCAATTTCTGTAATTATGGAGAACATCAGGGTATTCGGTGTAAGGAGACAACGACTACCTCCCAGTTGGACAATGTGTCAAGTCTCTATAGGAATGAATTGTGTTTTACGCCGCCCCTACAATACCCTATTGAATTCTTGGCTTAGTGCACACTTCATATCACTGCATCCATGAACCTGGACTTTCGTTACGCTGACTTTCACATTCTGATACTGTGACAGTGCTCACTCTGAATAGAACAAGAACCAATGCAGCCTAACTGACTCCCCATCTTGTCACGTATCAGATTAAGATAGTACGATATCACGCGGGTTCGATTCCCCACATGATTACAATGTGTGAAGCCCATTTCTGGTGTCCCCCGCCGTGATATTTTTTATGGCTAAAAGCGGCGTACAAACCAACTCACTCACTCACCCAACGGCACAATCCCACAGCATCACCCCATTCCTTCAGCACACCCTCCCCCTCGGCATCAATCCTGACCAGTGTCATCAATATCATGTAGTACGAGAGTAGTCTTCACTCACTCACACAATAAGTCTGACCGTTACTTGTAACTTGCAGTTGTGTATTGTGAGGCTGTGTATGATATAGTTATGTGTAGTGAGTGAGTGAATATGGTTATACGCCGCTTTTAGCAGTATTCCAGCAATATCACGGTGGGGGACACCAGAAATGGGCTTCACACATTGTACCCATGTAGGGAATCGAACCCGGATTTTGGGCGTGACGAGCTTTAACCACAAGGCTACCCCAATACCCCTATAGTTACGTGTAAGCACACTTATATACAACAGTACAGGGTATTTCGACAGACAAATCCCCACGTTTAACACTTATGGCGAAACATTCAACAGAAACGTGTGCTCAAGTGTGACTCTGTCTTCCTTTGTCATCTGATCATCTTTATTGATCAGGGATCTTCGTTTCTTCGATCAGTCTCTCCCAGCTACCATGATTCTGGTGTTTAACTGGTGCCAATTCAGCCAAGTGCAGACTCCTAAAATCAATATCTCAAGCTGGAAACTACACAAAAAACGAAATTGATTTGTTTTTGCCAATTTTCATTTTTTACGAAAACTCCTAACCTTGCAAAACATAATGCAGAACACGTGAGACGAACACTCAGTAATGCAGACAATTTGAGAGAATGAGAGTGCCGAGTAGTGCCGGGGGAGGGAGGAAGGGAGCGCTTGGTGTATTTACTTTGGGGAGAAGGAACCAGCAATTACATGGAATCAAACAATCAAAGAGTCTGCCCTGGTCGATTAAAGATTTTATCCTCCACGATCTCGCAAACCATAAAACCAGCATGCAGTTAGCTTTCTCTATCACTCTCCTGTAAAGCCAGCAGACTTCTACCTCCTTCTCCAATTCAACTCTCAAGCCCACAGACTACTTCCCACTTCCCCTCGAGAACTGTCAAGCCGGCAGGCTTCAACCTCCTTCCCGTATAGAACCGTCAAGCCGGCAGGCTTCAACCTCCTTCCCGTATAGAACCGTCAAGCCGGCAGGTTTCAACCTTCTTCCCGTCAAGCCGGCATTTCAGAAGAACCGTCAAGCCGGCAGGCTTCAACCTCCTTCCCGTATAGAACCGTCAAACCGGCAGGCTTCAACCTCCTTCCCGTATAGAACCGTCAAGCCAGCAGGCTTCAACCTCCTTCCCGTATAGAACCGTCAAGCCGGCAAGCTTCAACCTCCTTCCCGTATAGAACCGTCAAGCCGGCAAGCTTCAACCTCCTTCCCGTATAGAACCGTCAAGCCGGCAAGCTTAAACCTCCTTCCCGTATAGAACCGTCAAGCCCACAAGCTTCAACCTCCCTGACTGTCAAGGAACCGGGCTACTACGTGCTACCGCTATATAACTGTCAAGCAAGCTGGTTACTACCTTATTCCCCACTAGAACTGTCAAACAAGCTGGTTACTGACTACCCATTTCCCCATCAGATGCACCTTCACAAGCCCGACTCCCCATCCTCTCCCATTCCTGTTGAGCAATATGCAAGTACTCTAAACTTATTTGTCAAGCAACACCGACAACTGCCTCTCACTTATACATGGCAAGCAACATATTCAACTACCTGCTACTAATACATCACGTTATGCGCGCTTGACATAAGTGGTTCCCTTCTCTCACGCTCAGCTGTGCGTGCTCTCCATCAACTATTAGTCATGACTCAGCTCCCCAACTTTACTGAAAGAGTGAGCGAGTGGGTTTTGATTCCATATATTCCGACAGCGATGTGTCGAAAGGCAATCCCACAGTGGTGCAAGTTCGGAATGTATACTGGTATGTCAAAACCAAGGAGCACGGACTAGTGCTGAAAAACCAAGTGAGTGAGTGAGTGAGTGAGTTTAGTTTTACGCCGCTTTTAGCAATATTCCAGCAATATCACGACGGGGGACACCAGAAATGGACTTAACACATTGTGCCCATGTGGGGAATCGAACCCGGGTTTTCGGCGTGACGAGCGAACGCCTTAACCACTAGGCTACCCCACCGCCCCGAAAAACCAAGTATCATAATAAGGGCGCATCTGGGATTCGAACCCAGGATGATCTAATTCGGTACACATTGGAGTGTGCAAAAACACCCCATAAGCTTAAACCACGCAGATTCGCAACAACTTGAGCAGCCAACCACAAACTATGACCAGCATAGTGAGTGAGTTTAGTTTTACGCCGCACTCAGCAATATTCCAGCTATATGGCGGCGGTCTGTAAATAATCGAGTCTGGACCAGACAATCCAGGGATCAACAGCATGAACATCGATCTACGCAATTGGGATACGATGACACGTGACAACCCAGACAGCAAGTCTGACCACCCGATCCCGTTAGTCGCCTCTTACGACAAGCATGGGTTACTGAAGATCAATTCTAACCCGGATCTTCACGGGTGATCAGCTAAATACCTGCAGTGTTCGCTGTTTCGCACTTCCTACTATATACACTATTGAAATTATAGAGCGAGTCAGTTTAGCTTTACGCCGCTTTTAGCAATGTTCCAGCAATATCACAGCAAAAAGGCTTCACAAACTGTACCCATGTGGAAACTCGAACCTGGTCTTTCGGTTCCTGAAAACATTCGCTGTTTAACTGTTTTTGGATACTGGATGTAACGTGGAAATCTGACGGGCGCATGCATGTCAGAGAGGACGTTCCTGGGGTAAACACGGTTTACTACAGACCTACCTATACTCTCATTGGGGGAAATGTAATGGTGCACTGTGGTGGGATTTGTCATGGATAGACTGACAGTGAGTGAGTATTGTTGTACGCCGCTTTTAGCACTATTCCAGCAATATCACGGCGGGGGGATACCAGAAATTGGCTTCACACATTGTACACGTGGGGAATCCCCATATGCGGAATCGAACCCGGGTTCTTCGGTATGACGAACAAACCACAAGGCTACCCCACTGCCCCGATAGACCGACAGAAACTGGAGGCCAGTTAGTGCAGAGTTCCGGAAGACATACACGAGTGAGTGAGTGAGTTTAGTTTTACGCCGCACTCGGCAATATTCCAGCTATATGGCGGAGGTCTGTAAATGATCGAGTCTGGACCAGAAATTCCAGCATGAGCATCGATCTGCGCAGTTGGGAACCGATGACGTGTCAACCAAGTCAGCGAGCCTGACCACCCAATCCGTTAGTCGCCTAGACATACTCGAGGTATTGTTGGCAAAGTATGGAGTACTGTAGACAAAGTCTGCCATGTTATTCCCACGAAGGCCTGTGAAACATATGGTAGCGGTGAGAACAAACATATACCTCAAACTCGGAAACGTTGATGTTCTCAGTGATGTATTACTGTACATTTGTGTTACACAGATAACGTGATAGTACAGGCCCCCAAAATACACCACAATCATACATCACGCTCTAAAGAAAGAAGCTTGTCAAAACTACCAAACAGGGGTATCGAATGATCTGGCACAGACTAATTGCAGGATATTCGTGGTGGCAGCAGAGAGACAACAGCGATCACCAAGGGACAAATGACTCCATTGTTTAGGAAGGCACGGTGTTTACAGACGCGCCCCCTGCTGGCAATATGTCACTGGGTAAAGTCAGACATTGGTGATGGCGACCTGCACGTTCCTCGTGGATGCCTGCAGCCGCTGTGTGAGGTGAACTTGGTTTAACGCTGGTTTAAGCTACTGAGCAATATTCCAGCTATACGCAACCGCCTCCGTGGTGTAGTGGTTAGAGCGGAAGGTTGCGTGTTCGATCCCCGACCTCGTCATACCAAAAGAAGTTAAAATATGGTACTTGTTGGTTCCTGCCTGGCGCTCGGCATTAATGGGTACAACAAGGACTGGTACTGGATTTTTACCACTACAAAATCAGCTTAAGTCTGGGCTAGTACAAGCAGCCGCACATACACATACATGCACGACATACATACAAGCACGACGTTAAACCCAATTTCACCTCCAGCTATAAGCGACCTGTAAATCATCGGGTCGGACCAGACAAACCAATGATTGACAGCATGAGCACCGATCTACGCAAATGGGGTACGAAGACATGAATCAGTCAAGTCGGCGAGCCTGACCACCCAATCCATTAGCCGCTTTTTACAAGCATAGGTTGCTGAAGACCAGTTCAAACCCGGATCTTTGCTACTGGGTGTTTTACCATTTCGTATTACACAACCATTCGGTATTTCTTCATTAAGAGACGAGTGGAAGGAAATGTTATTGTAGATTGATAAGTGGTAAGTATCGACGTGGAGACTCGGAAGAGCAAAACGAAGGTGAAGGTTTCCAAACGTCGTTATCAGTACATGTCTTATCAAGTTAACGGTCCGTATATATTGGTCTCAACACAACCAACAGTATTTGTCTACGATTTTCAGGCAGGCAAACTGGGAAATATTTTCCCCACCTCAGAATAGTGATTTCATATTTTTTCAAGAAGGTAGGGTATACCGGTGCATTTATCTCACAATGATCTAATATTCGTTTTTCACTTGTTAAAAAGATTTGGAAATAAATGCGAGATATCTGTACAGTGGCTGCAGACCTGACGCCGAATATCGAGCTGAACAGGTATGTTCATCTTAATCCAACAATTGGTATCAGTATCATGAACGCTTTATTCTGAATGGCAAAATATGAACAAGAGATAATATGAACAAGAGATATGAACAAGAAATAATATAGAACATGCAATTGAGATCATGGAATGTGAACACATTTCTATCATTGCGAAACAATGGATCAAGATTATCAGAAAGATGTACAAACAGCTGCGATACATTCATCCTTTACACAGAAAGGGCAGTATCGGAGTAGAAAAATCAACAATAAACAACGTGTCAATGTCATAGTGTGGCGATGCTGTTATGGAGGAATAGCAGTATGTACAGTGAACGGTGTCAGGCATTAGTATGGGATTTCAATTCAAAGTTGGCCAGTTATAAAAACATGGACTCTTTTAGAAGGTTTTAATATAAGAAATACCGAGCCAGTGAATGGAGACGGGTTGTCATGGTGTTGCGACAGCACTTGAAAAATAACAAACTCAACAATGGAAAAACAATGAAAATATGATAAATAATATTGACGGAAATAAGGAAGTACTTAAACCTGGCAAAACCTGAGCTGATGTGGAAACAATCACAACTTATTTGCATATATACGGTAAGGCGGTTCAGTTGCACGAGTGTCTGCATATATACAGTAATGAGGTAGAAATTGCTTCAGTCGAGCGTGATGGAACCAATTTAAGGTCACATCAAGCAGATTATCAATAGTTTTACATATACTGGACTTGTTGTCTCGGTCACTGCGTACAAGTTCAAGACGCTCAAATACCGTAATAAACTAACAGAGGGCCAGCAAAATGTAAGTTTGTGCACCTCTCTTGCATATTTTCTCAAGTTTCTAATACTGAATTAACTGGGTTAAAACAAGCCATTACAACAAGGAACGTCCAGGGATTGAACAGTCTCCATGCTCACTACATGTACCTGTATATATACAGTTTGTAGTCTTTACTCGCCAGAACGACAGAGCCGTAGTCCATGAGGGTGACGTCAAAACACTGGGCATGCTTCACCTTGGATTCCAGAGCATTGACGAGCTGGCCACCCTGTGTGAAGATGGTGATGTTGAAGTTGTTATGGTTGTCGGCGACGACTACTTGGCCAGCTGCGTTGATACCGACACCAATGGGGTAATTTGTGATCCCTTCCCCGCCTATCTGGCGCAAGAGGACCCCATGGTAGCTGAACACCTTTACGCAGTGAGCGCGGTTGTCGCTGATGAAGATTTCCTCCTTTTCGTTGACCACGACGCTGTTGGGAAACTGCAGGTGTTTGGAACAGGAGAACATGTTGAGCACGTTGCCGACGTTGTCGAAGATGATGACCCGCATCACCTTGCACTCGACCACAATGATCCTGCCGGCGCTGTCGACCGCCACGCCACGAGGGTGTTGTAAGATGTTGGCGCCAAACTTCCGGAGGAACTGTCCGAACTGGTTGTAGACCTGTACCTGATGGGTAGGACTGCGCTCGGTCAGGACAATGTCTCCTGAAGACCCGACAACTGACACGCGGTTTGGGTACAACAGCTGGCCGTTGTGTTTGCCGCATTCCCCGAACTGGAACTTGAACCCTCCTTCCGTGTCAAAAATCTGGATACGATGGTTGTTGGTGTCGGCAACGATGATGTCGTTCTGTGCGTTAACGGTGACGCCACTCGGTTCGGTGAACTGTCCTTCCAGAACTCCAAACTCCCCGAACCTGCAGTGGTAGATCATCTTGTGACGTCGGACGTGGGAGGTCAGTGGGCAGAGAAGAGACACGTGACTTCCGGAACTGGGGGTCGGGGACAGGACGTCCAGACTTGACGACATGATATCCGAACCACTGGACCACGTGTTGTACTGGTCACTTGGAATCATGAGGTCATTGCTTCCGTACTTATACACGTTGATATTAGGAGGTTCGTCAAAGATGTTGCCAGTGGATGACAGTCTGGTGGTGGTTGAAAGTAGGTGCTCTATGGCCTGGCATGTAGGGATGCGATCAATCGTCGGACAGGCTGGGGCTAAGGTGGTCTTCCTGAAGAGCGAGTCGTTACCCTGACTCACATAACCGAAAGTATTGCGGACTCCTGTCTGAATGGCCTGGTAGTTGGATACGAACTCTATCTCAGAACAGTCCTGATTATCGAGGTTTGGTAAGAAGGTGAACATGTTATGGAACCTCCGTTCAACAAAAGTCTTCAGCATCAGACATTCTGTGACAGAAGCGTTATTTAGTAGTTTGTTAACGAAATGTATTCCCTGGCAGAGACTATTCAAACATTCCTGGATGTTCTGAGCTCTAGTTGTAATGGCAGCCTGCTTGTCGTTGAGAGCCTGATCCAGTTCTTTCAGGGTCTCTTCTTTCCGTTCTTCAAGCTTGGCCATGTAGAAGTCGTGAGTGTCGTTGATGTCATTCTGAGCCTTGTGATACTGCGTTTGGAGTGTTATTGAGCTCACGCCGATTCCTTTCGCCGTTGCCCTCAAGTCTTCAATCTTAATTCTAGCACAGTCCTCCAGGTTTTTCAACATCTGTATTTCTGATTCCGCAACTTCTGTCAGAAACTGACAGTCATGCCCGCGTCCATGGTCAAGCAGTACACACTCCTTACACACTGGTTCTGCGCACGTCTTGCAATACATCTTGAGTACGTCGATCTTATGTTTGGGGCAGTTAACTGGTTTCTCGGAACTGCAGGTCTCCTTGTTTATCTGAAGGTCCTCCAGGCTTATGACTCGGTGGCCTTCAAAACAGTGCATGAACTGATGAGCCATAACACAGTTGGCACACAGGAAGTTTGCACAGTCAAAACAACGCGCAACAACATTAGCTTCTTTGCTCTTGCAACCAGTACAGTGTATGGAACACGGGTCGAGAGTGGACAGTTCCATGATATTGCTGACAGTGTAATCCTGTCGGAGTCCACTCAGGCCATCGCTCCCGAGGTATGTATCGAAGTGGCATTCCGGACATGTCACTTTGTCGGTGACCTTGACCTTCTCAAGGCATGGCTGACAGAAGGTGTGGAAGCAGCCCAACAGTTTGGGGATCGAGAAGATGTCGTTACAGATGCTGCAGCGGGTGTTCAGGCCGGTGGAGTCCAAGTCGCTGTCGGAGGAGCTGGAGACGGTGGTGGACATGTCGACCTCCGATGGGGGAGAAGAGGACGTCATCCTTACACGGCGTCACGGCGGGGAACTTTGGTAGTAGGCGGAGTCTGGAGAATACGGGAAAGCCGATTAACAGTAATACAGCATAGAACGCATTAAGAAAGATTACTCGAAAAATTTCAATATAATATAATACAGCACTGCCATCAACAAGTAGGGGCTTAAACCACTACGTTTTCTAGAGTGGTGGATGTAAAACGCAGAATGATTTTGAGGTAAACAGGCATTACCGGCACCAATACAAAACCCAACAGAAAAAGTACATTATTCCCTTTACATAATGTAAGCAGGGTCTATTTCAGACGGACAATACTAAACACACCATTTTGGAGACATGTTACGAAAACATCTGTGTTCTTATCCAAAACAAACTGGGGAAAATGTTGACCAAATGGTGATTTTCAATACCTTAAGGCTTACTAAGTACACGTTGTGGGAGTGGAACTGTCCATTCTCGACCTGTGTTCCCTTCACAATGTTAAACATGATCAAGGAAGGAACACTGTTCGACAATCAGATTTTCCCCAAATTTGAAAAGAATCCATTTAATGTGTTCAAGTGATTGGTTGAACATGTTTTTTTAGTTCGAAATATGTAATTTGAGTATTTCTTGCAAATATTATATGTTCGGAATATATTCATTCGTTGATCTAACTTTTCTAAGTTTACATCTGCACATTGCTGTAATTCTTGAAAAGACTACCCGTATCAAAATTTGCACTGCATCTCGCCTTTAGAATTTCAAGGTGGTCCCTAAATTTGAAAATAATTCAACCAATAGTTCTCAAGTTATTGCTTGAACATTTTCCTTTTCGTACAGACGGATAGACGCACAGACGAAAGGACGGAAGGCATTCCTTGGAATTTCAAGACATTTATGTCGCAAATACTTCGTGTGGGATACTTCTTGCGAGACTAAATTTGGATAAGATATTCGCTTTGAAATTTACAATTTGATTAATTTCTACTAAATAAATATCACGGTTGATTATAAAATAAATATATCCAAAGTGTCCAAGGTAAATACTTATTTGTAAATGTATGTCACGATGAACTTACCACAGTACAATTAAACCTATATCATGAAGGTTCATGGTACAAGGGTAAATAAACTAGCAATAAAAATATCACTGTGGAGGCATAAATAAATTATCACACATTCAGGGTCCCACTGAAGTACTTGAAAACACTAAAAACAATGTGTTGAGGGGTTAGATAACACAACCTATTATCATATAAAGATCAATTTTAGAACAAAATTCTCGAACAAGTTCAATAAACATCTGTGCAACTATGAGATGCACACCTTTCGAGTCCCAATGAAACACATGTATAAGCTTAATCAATTCTGTTGAGCAGTTTTTGTGGAGAAGTGGATAGACTTAATCCCCTTTTTCACTATCATCAGAGAGAAATTCAACAAAATTTATCTAAGTTCAAATGTCTCTAAACATACATAAAATACAAAAACAAAATATGAGATGCACACGTGAGAGTCTTTATAAAAGACATATGTAAGCTAAATGAGTTTTGTGCAGTGGTTTTTGAGGAGAAGTGGATAAAGTACACCCCCTATGGTATGGGACGAACAGGATGAATAGAACCAAAGTTTAAACATCTGTAGAAGTGACAAAATTAAATAAATTGGATGAACAAGGTATGAGATGCACACCTTTAGAGTGCCAATGAAACACACGCAAAAGCTCAATCAATTATGTTGAGCATCTTCTGTGGAGAAGTGGACAGACTTGGATGTAACACACTGGAGAAGTGGATAGAGTACATTCCCTGTTTCGTACGGACGGACAGACCATGAGGTAGGTCTGTACATAGAGAATACTACACGAGGTCTCATTACACACGAATTATACGAAACAAGTGTCCTTCCTATGGTATCTGACCGAGCAAAAGCGAGGTCAGATAACATAGGAAGGTCACGAGTTTCGTATAATTCGTATGTAATGAGACCGAGTGTGGTATTTTATTTATTACCCACGTCTCACATGCATCAAATTGACAAAATAGCGTATTTTTGTTAAGTTTTTGGTTTCAAGCCAATCAAATCGTCAGAATCTCAGGTCAAGTCGTTACGACACAGGTCAACGCGACACGACACTCGTGTGACGTACGAGAATAGTATGCAGCTACCCATACGTTGACCACGTGGGTAATAAAACTCATATACTGCTGATAGATTCCACCATCTATGTAAATGCCATTGTGGTTCTCATTGAAACAATTTGCAATGATTATTCTGCGCCAAGTGTATTGAAATAAAGAGTTACATAGTGTACAGTCTAATAATCTAAATTGATTATTCTCACTGTCAATAAATCATGTATACCATACCCGTATCTGTGGGTCTGCCGTTTAAAGTGTGCAATAGTGTACATCGTTCTAGAGAGTCTATAAAGTGTGCTATTGAGTGAGTGAGTTTAGTTTTACGCCGCACTGAGCAATATTCCAGCTATATGGCAGCGGTCTGTAAATAATCGAGTCTGGACCAGATAATCCAGTCATCAACAGCATGAGCATCGATCTGCGCAACTAGGAACCGATGACATGTGTCAACCAAGTCAGCGAGCCTGACCACCAGATCCCGTTAGTCGCCTCTTACAAGCATAGTCGCCTTTTAGTGGCAAGCAGGGGTTGCTGAAGACCTATCCTACCCTGGATCTTCACGGGTCAAAGTGTGCTATTGTATCACCGTGGGTGGTTAACAGAATCGTAACTTGGCTGATCCGCTGCGTGTGCGTACACAATAATATCTGTCAATGTATCTCTCCATATAGGCGAGGTGAAACTGGGTTTTACTTCGTGCTTGAGAATATTTCGCTCATATGACGACGTGCATGCGTGTGTATGTGTATGTGCGGCTGCTTGTACTAAACCCAGACTGAAGCTGGTTTTATAGTGCTAGCCCTCTGAGATACCATACCGCAGTGAAGCATGAATACCCCACTCAGACACATTATACTGACTCCGAGCTGACCAGTCCTTGTTGTACCCAGTAATGCCGAGCGCCAGGTAGGGACCAACAAGTACCATATTTCAACGTCTTTTGTATAACGCGGTCGGGGTCGAACCCGCGACCTTCCGCTCTCCGGGCGGACGCTCTAACCACTACACCACGGAGGCGGTCCCTCTTCATATACACAACATCTGCCATTGATTTAAAACCAACATTTCTACCATAACAATCGTCACTGTCTCTTGTCCCAGCGTGCTTCATTTTATCAGATGGTATTTATGAAGAGGCGATATATAACCTCAGAAAACTACATGAATATTTCTTATCTACAACTATGTGATACAGCACTGCCATCAACAAGTAGGGGCTTAAACCACTACGTTTTCTAGAGTGGTGGATGTAAAACGCAGAATGATTTTGAGGTAAACAGGCATTACCGGCACCAATACAAAACCCAACAGAAAAGTACATTATTCCCAATTTTACATAATGTAAGCGGGGTCTATTTCAGACGGACAATACTAAACACACCATTTTGGAGACATGTTGCGAAAACATCTGTGTTCTTATCCAAAACAAACTGGGGAAAATGTTGACCAAATGGTGATTTTCAATACCTTAAGGCTTACTAAGTACACGTTGTGGGAGTGGAACTGTCCATTCTCGACCTGTGTTCCCTTCACAATGTTAAACATGATCAAGGAAGGAACACTGTTCGACAATCAGATTTTCCCCAAATTTGAAAAGAATCCATTTAATGTGTTCAAGTGATTGGTTGAACATGTTTTTAGTTCGAAATATGTAATTTGAGTATTTCTTGCAAATATTATATGTTCGAATATATTCATTCGTTGATCTAACTTTTCTAAGTTTACATCTGCACATTGCTGTAATTCTTGAAAAAGACTACCCGTATCAAAATTTGCACTGCATCTCGCCTTTTAGAATTTCAAGGTGGTCCCTAAATTTGAAAATAATTCAACCAATAGTTCTCAAGTTATTGTGAACATTTTCCTTTTCGTACAGACGGATAGACGCACAGACGAAAGGACGGAAGGCATTCCTTGGAATTTCAAGACATTTATGTCGCAAATACTTCGATGTGGGATACTTCTTGCGAGACTAAATTTGGATAAGATATTCGCTTTGAAATTTACAATTTGATTAATTTCTACTAAATAAATATCACGGTTGATTATAAAATAAATATATCCAAAGTGTCCAAGGTAAATACTTATTTGTAAATGTATGTCACGATGAACTTACCACAGTACAATTAAACCACATTGGTATATCATGAAGGTTCATGGTACAAGGGTAAATAAACTAGCAATAAAAATATCACTGTGGAGGCATAAATAAATTATCACACATTCAGGGTCCCACTGAAGTACTTGAAAACACTAAAAACAATGTGTTGAGGGGTTAGATAACACAACCTATTATCATATAAAGATCAATTTTAGAACAAAATTCTCGAACAAGTTCAATAAACATCTGTGCAACTATGAGATGCACACCTTTCGAGTCCCAATGAAACACATGTATAAGCTTAATCAATTCTGTTGAGCAGTTTTTTGTGGAGAAGTGGATAGACTTAATCCCCTTTTCACTATCATCAGAGAGAAATTCAACAAAAATTTATCTAAGTTCAAATGTCTCTAAACATACATAAAATACAAAAACAAAATATGAGATGCACACGTGAGAGCTCTTTATAAAAGACACATATGTAAGCTAAATGAGTTTTGTGCAGTGGTTTTGAGGAGAAGTGGATAAAGTACACCCCTATGGTATGGGACGAACAGGATGAATAGAACCAAAGTTTAAAACATCTGTAGAAGTGACAAAATTAAATAAATTGGATGAACAAGGTATGAGATGCACACCTTTAGAGTGCCAATGAAACACACGCAAAAGCTCAATCAATTATGTTGAGCATCTTCTGTGGAGAAGTGGACAGACTTGGATGTAACACACTGGAGAAGTGGATAGAGTACATTCCCTGTTTCGTACGGACGGACAGACCATGAGGTAGGTCTGTACATAGAGAATACTACACGAGGTCTCATTACACACGAATTATACGAAACAAGTGTCCTTCCTATGGTATCTGACCGAGCAAAAGCGAGGTCAGATAACATAGGAAGGTCACGAGTTTCGTATAATTCGTATGTATGTAATGAGACCGAGTGTGGTATTTTATTTATTACCCACGTCTCACATGCATCAAATTGACAAAATAGCGTATTTTGTTAAGTTTTTGGTTTCAAGCCAATCAAATCGTCAGAATCTCAGGTCAAGTCGTTACGACACAGGTCAACGCGATACGACACTCGTGTGACGTACGAGAATAGTATGCAACTACCCATACGTTGACCACGTGGGTAATAAAACTCATATATTGCTGATAGATTCCACCATCTATGTAAATGTCATTGTGGTTCTCATTGAAACAATTTGCAATGATTATTCTGCGCCAAGTGTATTGAAATAAAGAGTTACATAGTGTACAGTCTAATAATCTAAATTGATTATTCTCACTGTCAATAAATCATGTATACCATACCCGTATCTGTGGGTCTGCCGTTTAAAGTGTGCAATAGTGTACCTCGTTCTAGAGAGTCTATAAAGTGTGCTATTGAGTGAGTGAGTTTAGTTTTACGCCGCACCGAGCAATATTCCAGCTATATGGCGGCGGTCTGTAAATAATCGAGTCTGGACCAGATAATCCAGTCATCAACAGCATGAGCATCAATCTGCGCAATTGGGAACCGATGACATGTGTTAACCAAGTCAGCGAAACTGACCACCCGATCCCGTTAGTCGCCTCTTACAAGATAGTCGCCTTTTTTATGGCAAGCACATGGGTTGCTGAAGACCTATTCTACCCTGGATCTTCACGGGTCGGAGGGAATGGCATCAAGGCAGGTAGAGTTAAAGCCCATTTCAAGTAATATCTTTCACTTGAATTGTTGATTTGAAAGTTATATTCCAATTTTGAATAAAAGTTAAAAATTTAGTTTAAAATCTACAGTAATTTCTCATAATGAACATATAAAGATTTAAGATAAATGCATGCTAGACATTGTTGTGGACACTTCAAATAATCTGCTACTGAAAAGCTAAAAACAAAAGATTCGTTCATAAAAGTGATGTTTGCCATATGTATTCACAATATTCAAATATCATAATTGATGCACATTGAGATACTTCTAGAATACGTTGTTTGTATATCTCTTAAAAACCGTTGCGCAGTTTGTCGAAACTAAACCCATACTTCCTTGCAAAATAGCTTTGGTTTGTAATATCGATGCTATTGATGACACCTGTGTTGACAAGTTTTCAGGAAAGCTCATTTTAAAAGGACGTACGCGCGAAGACGAAGTCACGTGTCAATTTCACACGCGCCCGAGCACGCCTTTTGCATGCGAGTGACCAATTTGGTGGTGACGTCACAAGCTGTTTTGGCATGTCTTTGCAAATGGCTGCTAATATGAAAAAATCACCAATATCTAGAATCATTTTGTGTCATAAAACAGTTACATTCTGAACATGTAGTGAAAAAGGTGGAAATGGCGGCAACCTCAAGTGATAAGCGTTTCCATTTTTGAAAATTCAAGACGCAAATGTCGCCATTGTTACACAGACCGAGTAAATTAAATACTAGAGAAAGAATACGTATAATGAGTTTACAAAACATGCAGACAAACCTGCAAAGTTATCCAGGAATCCCACGTGGAGCTCAACAACAGGCTCAGGTTGAATATAGCGCACAAGTGTCAATCAACTCGCGAAGAGAAAAGCACACAAGTGCACTAGGTATGGTGTAACTGCGATTTTAGCGCCTCTGTATCCACCGGAGCCGTCCTTCTGTGATGCCTCGACTCAACCCCAGATGTCGACTGTCCTCAGCTTGTGAACAAGGACTGATTCTATCCCAATCGCTGTATCGTTGTCATTCATTTGTACCCACAGCATTAGCTGCACGTGAGACTCCTCGTGCAGATTACGTAATGCTGGTTTCGTGGAAAATAGTGAAAACGCTGTGCCCCGAACTGGGATTGTTATACGCATTGTCTGATTGAGAAAATGGCGCTGGCACGAGATGTTACACATTGTTGACAAACATAACTTCCGCATGCTATCTGGAGATAGGGTTGCTTTTTATGTATGCAAGCTATCGTCTTCGTTTGACTGGAAGATGCTTTTGACACATTAACAATTCTTTAAGAGTAGGAGTGAGTGAGTGAGTTGGGTTTACCGCCGCTGTCAACAGTATCCCAGCTGTATCGCAGCGTGTCAGCTTAATATGGGGTATGGCGGACCGGGACTTGAACCCACAATTAACGGGTTTTGATGTGCCCAAGGGATGCAACTCTGCAATTTGTATCACATCCTGAATTTCACAGATGCATCACTCTGCATATGTATCACACAGACAATGAAATTCTGTATCACATCCTGAACTATAATTACCGGTATCAGCTATAGTATCACCGGTAACACACACTGGATTATAATTACCTGTATCAACAGGACTATAATTACCTCACACACACTATAATTACCGGTATCACACACTGGACTATAGTTACCTGTATCACACACTGGACTATAATTACCGGTATCACACACTGGACTATAATTACCGGTATCACACACTGGACTATAATTACCTGTATCACACACTGGACTATAATTACCTGTATCACACACTGGACTATAATTACCACACTGGTATCCTGCACACTAGCTACCTGTATCTATAGTTACCTGTATCACACACTGGACTATAGTTACCTGTATCACACACTGGACTATAGTTACCGGTATCACACACTGGACTATAGTTACCTGTATCACACACTGGACTATAGTTACCTGTATCACACACTGGACTATAATTACCGGTATCACACACTGGACTATAATTACTGGTATCACACACTGGACTATAGCTACCTGTATCACACACTGGACTATAGTTACCCGTATCACACACTGGACTATAATTACCTGTACATACACTATAGTTACCGGTATCACATCGACTGGACCACTGGACTATAAAGTTACCGGTATCTGGACTGTAGTTACCTGTATCACACACTGGACTATAATTACCTGTATCACACACTGGACTATAGTTACCGGTATCACACACTGGACTATAATTACCTGCATCACACAGTGGACTATGATTACCGGTATCACACACTGGACTATAATTACCTGTATCACACACTGGACTATAGTTACCTGTATCACCTGCACACTGGACTATAATTACCTGCACCATAACAGTGCAGTATGATTACCGGTATCACACACTGGACTATAATTACCTGCATCACACACTGGACTATAATTACCGGTATCACACACTGGACTATAATTACCTGCATCACACAGTGGACTATGATTACCGGTATCACACACTGGACTATAATTACCTGCATCACACAGTGGAGTATGATTACCGGTATCACACACTGGACTATAATTACCTGCATCACACAGTGGAGTATGATTACCGGTATCACACACTGGACTATAATTACCTGCATCACACAGTGGAGTATGATTACCGGTTTCATCACACACTGGACTATAATTAACCTGCATCACACAGTGGATCATGATTACCGGTATCACACACTGGACTATAATTACCTGCATCACACAGTGGAGTATGATTACCGGTATCACACACTGGACTATAATTACCTGCATCACACAGTGGAGTATGATTACCGGTATCACACACTGGACTATAATTACCTGCATCACACAGTGGAGTATGATTACCGGTATCACACACTGGACTATAATTACCTGCATCACACAGTGGAGTATGATTACCGGTATCACACACTGGACTATAATTACCTGCATCACACAGTGGAGTATGATTACCGGTATCACACACTGGACTATAATTACCTGCATCACACACTGGACTATTATTACCTGTATCACACACTGGACTATAATTACCTGCATCACACAGTGGAGTATGATTACCGGTATCACACACTGGACATTAAACAACAGTTACTGTATCACACGCTGGACATTAAATTACTGAATGACACGCTGGGCATTAAATGAAAAGTATCTTCACTTGCCACTGCGGGTCAAATTAATACATGAGGAAAACCCGTAATTCAGCTGCTGTTAGATGTTTACTTCATGCAGAAAGCAGGACTGACAACTTCATTAAGGACGTCGGAGGTTGGGGAGTCAGGCCTGAGGAGGAGCCAAACACTGTGAAATTGAGTCAGATACAGGCTGATCTACTACAACCCCATCCTTAACTACCACTGACAGACTCAGCCAGTGTTTGTTGTGGTACTGGCAGTACACTTAAAAACATACCAGCTAGCCTGTCTCTCAGACCTTCGGACCCGTGAAGGTCCGGGTTAGAATATTGGCCTTCAGTAACCCATGCTTGTAGTAAGAGGCGACTAACGGGATCGGGTTTCAGGCTTGCTGACTTGGTTGACACATGTGAAAGGTTCCCAATTGCGCAGATCGATGCTCATGCTGTTGATCACTGGATTGTCTGGTCCAGACTCAATTATTTACAGACCGCCGCCATATAGCTGGAATATTGCGTAAAACTAAACTCACTCACTCACTCAGACCTTCTGGAATAAATTCACAAACGAACCTTACCCAAGTCTAGAATGATTGTGCAAGTGTAGATTGTTTTTTTTGTAGATATTTCTGGCTCTACGTCTTAGTCTACATATGAGACACTGCCCTGGACTATGTTAACAGTATCGGTTGTGGCAGATGTCCAGACTACTGTAGGCGCTTCTGTGGCAGTCACTTGTACTGTGCCAAGTTGAATATTCCTTGATAGACAGTCAGACGTTTGAAGAACACAAATATATGATGCTTCTGTGGGTGAGTGAGTGGTGAGTGAGTTCGGTTTTACGCCGATTTCAGCAATATCACGGCGGGGGATACCAGAAATGGGCTTCACACATTGAACCCATGTGGGGTGCTTCTGTGGAAAGTGCTGGAATACTGCTGAGCGTTAAACAACAACCAATCTGTGACAGTAACTTATTTATTGTCTGTAACGACGATTCTTGCCTTTCCCATATGTGAACACTGAGTAATTGTATTGATTTAATGCAATAACACCGCGATAGTTACATGAGGGGCAGGGTGACGAAGGGGCGAGAAGTAGGCGTAAAGGATGTTGTCAAAGGGAGTGAGTGAGTGAGTGAGTGAGTTTAGTTTTACGCCGCATTCAGGAATATCCCAGCTATATGGCAGCGGTCTGTAAATAATCGAGTCTGGACCAGACAATCCAGTGATCAACAGCATGAGCATCGATGCTTGGTGTTTAACGCCGCACTCAGCAATATTCCAGCTACATGGCGGCCGTCTGTAAAGGAGACAATCCTGAGATCAACATCATGAGCATCGATCTGCACAATTGGGATACGATAGCGTGTCGTCCAAGTCAGCGAGCCTGACCGACCGACCCGTTAGTCGCCTCTTACGATAAGCATTGGTTACTGAAGACCAATTCTAACCCGGATCTTCAGGGTCTCATAGGTGTGGGGATCGAGTTAGTCCCGATGAAGATCCTCACCAGTACCACATCCCCAGAGCTCGTGGGATCCAACCACGCACTCGACGTCAATGACGTGATCTATACAACTTAGACAAAGGATGATCATGCCAGGTATTCACTGGAGTATCGAACATAAAATATTACCCCAAGTTGTTCTCGTACCATAAATGTCAGTAGTTATTTGAAGACGTTTCAAGTTTGTAATGGTTGATTCAAATACTGGTCGGTAGGCCCGGTTACCGGTCACCCATTGGACAGTTTCATATCAAACAAGCAACTAAGTCGTTAAACTAGTAGGGAAACAACTTTCGTCACCTTGATTTCTGGTCAGGCTACACAGGTATTTGGCCCCGAGGTGAATCACGTACGGCCCGATCCATGGTATTTTGTCAAGTCGCCCCGAAAGTGCACCCGCACATCTTGAAGATCACACACTATTTGAGGAGCTCGTGTCCTTAAAAGGAGGTTATCATGTTTCAGCACAAACTATTTCTTCAATATGATTTCTTGATCTGATCTAAAGAGATTGTTTTTAGAATTGTTGAGGCCACTCGACGGTTGTCTGGTTTATAAACATCTAAACTAACAACTAGTCTCTGCAATGAACATATTTTACAGATAAAACAGTTCATAATAAAAACGTAAAATATAATGAAAAGGAGGCCAGAGACTTTCTTCATTAATGTTTCAGAAACAGTGGTAATCTAGACTTGCCACATATTCTAGACTTGCATGGGCTTTCTTGGATATATTTGTATATATGACAGACTAATAAACATCACGCGGTAGAGTGGAGCACTGAATAAACAGCGTCAGATACGTATTTTAGATGGTGTGTTATATTCCCGGCGACTATACCTACTGATACCTTGTCTCCGAATGAACATATTTTACTAAAACATATATTAGTAAGATAGAAGAACCACGAGATTTTCTTCGTTTTTCTGAAACTGTAACAATCTAGACTTGCGTAAAAACTTTCTTGGATATATTTGTTTCAGGGTTAGTCTGTCTCACAGTCCCTGAACCGCATTATTGTCTCTTCTGCCCAGCCCTTTCTGCAATGCTAAATCTCTAGATGAAACAAGTCTAGATTTCCTCAGGTTCAGGTCCCTTCTCTTTAGTCCCTGAATATATATAATTTTGATAGTAGCAAATAAACCCATTTAAATTGAAAAGGAGCCCCGACCAGAGATTCAGGAACCTGAGGAAATCTAGACTTGCTTCATTTAGGGCTTCAGCATTGCAGGGAGGGCTAAGCATTGGGGAAAATAATGTGGTTCAGGGACTGTGAGACAGACTAGTCCCTTCTCATTAGGCCTTCTTTTCAATGAATTGCTTGTTTCTATCACAATTATATGTATTCCGAGACTAAGCTTTAGTC